AGTAGAATAATTGATGCGAAACCATTTTTTTATGATATTTCATCCCATTTTTCGTTCACAAACAGTGAATGAATCGAACTGTAACTATTTACTTTTATAAGCCATAACACCTAAAAAGGTTGATTTGAGGGTCAATTCACGTGGTTTTGCTATTAATTGAATTCATCGGCTTTCTTCAGCATAAAGATGATTGAGATTTGGATTAATCAGGTTAATGTAAACTAGTTTTTATGATCTGTTACCGCTAATGTTATCGATGGATCAGTAAGGCGCGCACATTCAATCATCATCATCATCACACACCAATAGCTGGTGACAATACTATGAATGGAAAACCGCAACGCCAAGTTTGAATTTAATAGAAAAAAAACACCACAAACAAATTTCTGCAATATTGAATCTGCACTTAACGACTGAGAATCGACTTTCCCAACAACATTATTCGACAAAAATAGTAAAACTCGGTGAAGTTTCACAATTAAATCCAACATAACATTTGGATATTTCATGCTTTAATCTGAACAAAGTCGGTTTTCCATGCACAACATAAAACGCAACTTTCTTTAATCTAATAGTAAGATTTATGTCGATAAAAACTATCTGTACAAGCAAATTTTACTGTACATTTATCGAAAGATAACGTTAAAAAGATTAGCAATCTCTTTTTTTTTCAATCATCAGCCGGTTTTGGCTGAAATGTCAATGGTCAAAATTGAATAATCTCCAACGATTAATTTAATCTAGAGAATGCACAATACATGTTTTTCAAGGTATTGATGTTTCGATTTGTGTTGCAGTTTTTTTTTCTCAAATTCAAATGTTATATCGTTTGATCTGTTTGGTGAATAGATACGAGTTTACGTCGACAAATGGTTCAAGTTCATCCGTATCAAATCATTGATCGCATGTTGATGCTTTGACATTAAATACCCCATTTTAGCGCTCGTGTGCCATTCGAATGTGCCATTTTTTCATGCGCATTCAATGCTCTGTTTCATCGATTTTAAATGTGTTTCAGGGTCAATGAAAAACGGTCCCAAAATACCATTCACATATAGCCAATGTTGGACACGCATTTTGTGATATCAAAAATGCACACTACTACACATTTGAAACGTACATTGGCACACATCTACCAACTCATCATTCACAAAAACGCAAAAGCATTCAAATTCTCCTTTTTTTTGTTATGAAACACCTTATTGTGTGCACGATATTGTTTTGAATGATTTAATTTATTCAATGTTTGCACACTTTTGAAACTTTCAATGCAAACAACGTACTTCTCTCTTTGTTCGCTTTATTTCCGAAAAAAAGAAAAAAGAAAATAATGATCGACAATTAAATTTCGATCCGTGAGTATGAATTCAAAATGAAAAGAAAAATTGAAGTTGGTATTCAAAACGGCAAACATCTCATCATATGCCAGTTTCCCATTCCAACAGTGAAATGGATTCAATAAGTGTTTTGTTTGTAGCCAAATATTTGACGATGCTGTTATGTGCCAACACTCTAGTACACCAACTTATGCAGAGTTTCATGTTTAAATAGAGAAAAAAGTGAATCTTTATACGTGCTGTGTGCAAAAATTACGATCAAATAAATATATTTGTTTTCTGTGCGCTTTCGTTTTAGCTTTGATAATGCTAATATTCTCTTTATTACTCGGTGAATGTAATTCCCTGCTGTTTCTGACTCGTCGTCTAGGCGAAACCAAAACACTTGAAATGACAAAAAAAAAAATAGAAATACTTTCGAACAGTGACAGCAAACGTACTTCATCAAAGTCACCATTACATCATTAATAATTCATTTGGTATCCAATGTGAACGATCTTGTAGCTGCGTTTTGCATCCTCTTTTGTCAAGTGCAAATCGATTGCCTTTTGTTTTCTTTACTTTAAAACATACTTTTTGCTATACTCATGATGAAGATTGTCACCGCGTTTTTCTCCGTCCACACGCATGCATTAACTAATTTGAATAAAAACGAGTTTGGTTTCATACTTTTTTTTTGAGTGCGATTTAATGATACATCTATTGCATATATGTTTTATTCAGAGCAATCACTCAATTTATAGTCACCGCTGGAGATTATGGCACGTCGTGCTTTAATTGTCCCTAAAAACTCATAAAAGACACATGACTATTTTTGCTCATAAGCAGCCATATGCTGCATTGTCTTTTTTCGTTGTTCCTTTTTGAATTATGATTATAGTCTCCGTTGCAATTAACGAATACCATCTTGTACGATAAATTTTAGTAATAACTAGCGATTTCGAGAGTGATAAAAAAAATAATACAAAAACACCAAGCTGTTGGCGTCGATGTCAAAAAGTTACATTGGTTTTGGTTGGATCAGGAAGAACTTTCGCACACTCGTAAAAAGCAGAAAAAACCAGCTTAATAAAAGAAAAACTCACAACAATGGAATAAACGGTTGTGGGAAACTTCATGTATTCCGTGGATGATTATTATTTAATGAAAACTACATCGGAATAATGATATATTTCATGAACTTTAACTTTGGATCTGTCTACAGGCACCAGCGATCGCTTACTTTTTATGCATGTGCCTTGAGAATTGGGTCAATTCTGTTACTGCACTTGATCGCTTGAGTTTTGTTAACAATAAGAATACCAGCGATCGAAATCGGCAGCAATACGACTTTGTAAACCGAAATTTAAAAAAAAAACGACAATCAATAGATTCAATTGAAATGCGAACAATACAGTCTTTCAAATGGAAATGTGCAAAGTAATATCATCACGTGCACTGTGTAGACATATAGTAAAAAAAAACTTCGCTTGAGGAAACGCAACAGACATGTTTTGTGTATGAGCTATTGCAAACGATATAAAAACGAGTGATTATTTTATCTTCTGCTGTAATCAGTTATGACGAATATTCGAATGATTCGAATAAATATCGAAATGCACATTTAAACAGCTGTGAAAAGAAACTGGAAACAGTAGCAATGCCACTAATTTGCAAATGTAAAATGGCTTTTATTGTTGAAATAGTTCGCTAATAAACTATAATAAATAATGTGGAAATGAAATATCTGTACGATTGATTTGATGTGTATCAAGCCGTCTCTCTTTGGCCAACGCCGACAGAGTCGAAGCGCATTTTACAATAAAGTCATTAAAGTGATGTGCAAACACATTGAATTTTTTTTCTCTCTATCTTCTATTATTCGATTAAGAAACAATTTATTAGCTAGTAAGTAGTAATTGTTCTCGGTGGAAGGAAAACTATTCAAATTTACCATGTTTCTTTTTTTATATTACTCCATCAAACAATCGTACAGCAAGATTGATAGAAATACATTTTACAAATTAAAATTAGCTTGGCTGTATCATCTTGCAATCCAAACGAATTGCATAATATGACAGCACTAAAACTCTCACGATAGTCGCTCGTTTTCGAAAAATGTATGATTGATATTCATGCAAACGCGATAGAACCACTATTTTCGTTTGTTCAAGTCACGGAAGTGATTTTACTTTCCCGTTCACACGAACCTTTATGTGACGTTCTTGTTGTACGCGTCAAATTCAGGCAGTCATAAATTGACCATTGGCGAAAAAAAGCGCACATGTTAAATAACTATTGTGTTTACAAAGTATTCGTTATAATGTTGTTCATGTTCTTACGTCGGTCTCACTTTTACCGTGCCGACTGTTATCGGAACTCATTCGCTCTGATTACGCGATGCATTTTTTTGGAGCCGCAGTTTGTTTCTTTCTTCGGTTCCATGGTGTTGAAATCGAAATATCAAATCAGTAGCAATAAAATGCGCGTGCACGAATGCTCTTGTGATGTGGAAATGTTGGTGTTTTTTTGTGTATTGTCGTCACATTAAATAACACCAGTCAACGTTTTGCAGTCAACACAGAAACAATTTAACCTGAAATTAAAACCAAATTTCGTTTCGAACGCTTATAAAAATATACATTTTTCGTACGAGATAATTTTTGATGAGCAAACGCCAGACAGATTGCATACCAACATCTGCCGTGCGCCAGTGGCACAACTGCATCGTACACATGAAATCGCTTGTATTCAGTATGCACAGAAGAAAAAAAAACTATCGAAACAAAGACCAGCAATTTAACGAAGTTATTATATATATGTGTATATACTTTACATGGCTGCCGCCATTGCCATTGTTTGCTATTTCGGCGAATTTTGTTGTTGTTGTGTTTTTTGTTGTTTTACTTCGTTCGATGCTCATTGCATATGTGTATGTGTCGTTCGGTAATTCGTGAACAAATTTTTATTGCCGTAGAACGAAATGGTGTTGAATTCGACTGCAATTTCCACACAGACTGCAACGCTCGACGAAATTTCAATGTGAAATAAACAACGAAAATATTTGTCTGCACTTTAAAGTCGAATGTACCAAAGAGTACTCAATTTTTTGTTGTCTGTTTCAATTACACTTGCAAAATTTAATTACCGTTGGTTAAACAAAGAAAATCAGCTTTTGACACCACCAGCTTGAAATGTGCGCAATTGTATTTACTTTCCAATTGATTTGTCGTTTTTGTTGTTATGATTTTTTTTAATACTCTTTCATATCCGCATTCATTTCGTGGCTTCAGTTCGCTGGTTTTTTTTTCTTGTAGACAATTTTCAAAGCAACATATGAAGTACTTTTGACCTATTATATCTTAACTTGAGTCAAATCGTGGCGTTACATGTTTACATTTGTAAATTCATTTCTCCACGTCACTTATTAATCAACGTGCAGTTATGTTTTAATTAATGGAATAACACAAGGTTTGCATGTGTGCATGGAGATATCACGTGAAAAATCTCACCACAGATTTAAAAAAAAAAAAACAGAATCATTGAGTTTCGAGGTGATCAATTTTTATTCATTCAATTGACAACATTTTCATTTAAAATATTATTAATTAGCCTTATTTATAAGTTAATTACTTGTCACAAATATAAAATAAATTGGCTAATGTTCAACTTTTATCTTTTCAGACTTTAAACGAGACACACGGTCAAAAGCGACTACTTTAAAACAGCTGTTATGCGTGCTTAGGAAAATAATGTGAGTTGTTTTTCGATTTGAATTTTTTTACCAACCTTAAAATGGGTTCAATTGATGTGCCCATTGATAATGAGAAGAGAATGAGAATATTTTCCGGTTCACCGGAATGTCGTATGCGTTTATGTGACAACACCCAGAAAATCAAAGCACCGTGAAAATTGTTGGTGTGCAATTGTTGTTTGCTTGCGCTAAAATACGTGTTTTAGATTTAAAAAAATATATATGGGAACTGTTTCGCTTGAGATTGAATATCGAATCACAAATATCGTAAACAACAGGTTACCATATCTCACAATCGAATTGACAATGTTAAACTTCTCAAATGATTTCGAATATAAAGCAAACAGAAAACTCACCTTGCATTTTATTACAAATCTATCTAACTTTTGATGTACGGATGATGTACCATGAATGAAATGCTTAAAAAAACTGATGTGAACGTACAAAAGTGACACGAGGCGACACATATGTGACAGCGTTTATCAGAGCAAATAAATTTGTCGATTTCCAAAATAATGCCAATGAAACGGTATATGATTTGAATAGCCCAGGAATGAAAGAGATCGGAGACAGTTTGAAGCAAATAACAACAAAGAAATTAGATTGTTTTGGAGAATTGTGATTTGAAAGTCTCATCCAATTATTTGAAGATCTCATTCGGTGTGTTTTTTGTCTCGTTGTACGTGATTACAATGATTGACCACATACAGATCGTTTTTTTCTCGATATACCGTTCAGCTCTCTTTCATATATAAACCACGTTCTGTTGCCGGAATACTTTTTATATTGTCGGAACTAAATGTCACATTTTGAAACTTCATGCAATAAATTCGCACAGAATGGCAAAACTAAAATTTCAAACACTGACGCAGAAAAAAAACACCTCTCAAAAGGTCACGGTCGATTAAATCACAACATCAAAGTGTTGAAAAAAAAACAAGAATGCAAGTGAAAATCGTTGACGTCAGTAAATGGCTAACTAATTTTGTGGTTTAAATTAGGCACCACAAATTCATTGACGCAGTCAAATACCGGAAAACCTGGTTAAATTTGTCGAAAATTTACACAACATATTTTTTTGTACTTCATAACCATTGACGGAATATACATTTTGATCATTTTTGGGAGTAGAAAGTTCGAATGGAATTCAAATGGATGAAGACGAGAACATGGTCTCATCGTCAATACAAGTTATAATGGATTAAATGAGATTTTGAGCCGAGATTTCATTCTTAAATGATATCATTTGAAGACTATCAGAAACAGTAAATGGATAGGCAATTATTTAAATTACAGCGACAATAAAACAGTTACATGCAAATCCCATGAAGAATTGTAGGTGTGAATATTTCCATATTTAATCGACATTTCACAACATACTCTTGTTTCATGCCAATTATGTGCATGTATACATTTCCAAAATGTAGTTGGGCGGTTAGCAAAAACCTTACAATTTGTACGAGTTGCTACTTCAAAACTTCTTATGTTTCGATTCTAGTGTCACACAAATCCCGACATAATTTTTTTTCGGAGATAGTATTCGCATTTTAATGAGCTGTTTCATTTGATTTTGAATCAAAAATATACGAATATACATTTCAAATTGATTTTTGTTTGTGTGTTATGTAAAAGGCATTACCAAGGTCAACTACATAGACTTTGGGCAGATTAAACGAAACAACGAAGAAAAAGCAACAATCAAAAATAAAAGGTGTATAAAGCCAACGTGTATTTTGGGTGCCGCCGTCATAGGCTGGTGAAATTTCAACATTACTTTTCTGGTTTTGAAAGCAATTTTTTGACATTTTTATTTCTTTTTTTTTGCTTTAAATTAACAGAGAAGATTTGAATAAAATCGCGTTATCAATCCAAAAGAATTGATTTTCAAAGAATTCAATAATGAATGGCGCTGGAACATTCAATTATTGAAGAAAAAAATCATTTTCATACAAGAAATATTTCAACGCATAATAAATTCAACTCATTTCCATGCCAACTACCGGTATAAAATTTCAATATTCTAATTTTTGAAAGCAGTTATGTTCCGAAAAATATCCAGTTTTGTCAATCTCAATATGTGATTTATCAGACACAGTTTTTTTTTTACAAATTCCATTCCCATTGAGTTCTTTGACTTTTAATACCATTGATTGAACAATTAATTGGAGTTTTTGATGTTTGGTAATTTATGAATTGTGACCTTGTCCTCTCGTCTCTTATTCATTCTCCTGTGATTAAATCAGTATTTACTGTTCACATTCAATAGACAATCGTGTACAGTACACAAATTAGCGGTGGTTTAAAATGTTTTAATGTCTATGAACACGAAATGAATTCAATTTTGAAATTGAACTCACTTCAATATGGTGTTCAATATGCCTAACCTTATCAAAATTATTAGTTTACTTTTCCATTCGAATTTATTCTTGAGTTTTGACACTGAAAGTCATAACAGCTTTCCTGCAACTTGGGCATTGAAACAATTTGACCGAACATGTTGATCGCTGACCTCAAGCACTTGAAACGAGGAACTTTATGTTGTATTACATGGCTATTAAACAAGCCAAATGGTTGTCTAAAACATAATTTGCATGTGTACAATCGCATTTAATGTGTAATAACCACATGTTATTCCCTACAATTCATTTGAGTCTACTTGAATCGTGCATTGATCTATTAAAATTGTAGACCAAAAATAAATTGTGCATATTAAGCGTAATTAACGGGGCCATTCAACAAATTGATACATTTTTCTTGCACTAATTTAAATGGGAGTGATGTGCGTCACCTCGTGAAATACCGTCTGATTCAGCGAATTGTATGCGATTTTGTTATGAATCAAATTAATGAGCAATATTATTGAGACCATTTAAGGTGATTTTATGGCGCATGGCACAAACATTGTGGACGTCTTTGAATTTTTTTGTGACAACAAAAAGGACAGTGATGAATAATCAAAGAACCACTTATTGAATGCTTCCATTGTGCTCGTGTTAAGCAGGTGATTTATTTCTTATATCCAATTGATTTTTGAATTTAACAAACAAAAAACACAATTGGTTCATTTTCGTCAAAAAAAGTTTATCATCAAAAAGTTAAGACCTCATTGTGTTTCTTCAAAGTCGACCCATTGAAAAATAAGAAAGATAATTTCATTTTCGCTGGCAGTCGTTGCAGAAACCAGTTAATTTTCCAAATTGTTGTTTTTATCATTGATGCAAAAAGTCGCCCAGAATATGCCAACATAATCAATTATGGCATTGCAATAAGGTGTGTGTGTGTTGTGTTTTGTAAGAGAAAGTGTGGACGCGAATTAAGTGCGAGCAAACATTGGCACTGGTCAGCGATTACAAATATAAAATCAATTAAACTTGTCTCGTATGATGTGAGTGAAAATTGAATAGATAAACCGGGCAAAGACAGCAAATGCAAATAATTGAGATCCATAAATGACAATTTATCTTTCAATTATCCGATTCCAATTTGTGTACGTCGCAAGCAGCGCAACTGAATAAATTAAAGACTTGTTGCAAGAGGAAAATGAAGTTGAAAACAAAGTTGTATGATCGATAGAAAAACATTTGTCTATAACTTTGAAACTGATGAAAGAGACGTAGTGAGCAACACATTTTCATGCGAATTCTTTACGTTTTCATAAGCCCGAATGAAACAAACTTGTAATTTGATTAAGATGCACTCCTTTTCTCGCTAAGCGGTGCATTAGTGACACTTCTGCTCATGATGAAGATGTGTTTTTTTTTGCGTTGTAATGAACTTTTATTTTTTCTCACATTTATATCTTGCATCATGTCTCGCAATGATACTTTCAATAGAATGTGAAGGCCTTGTGCATTCCATCTGAAATCGATAATGTCACATTTGTCACATACTCTGAAGAAGCATACATTTTTTTGTGTGTCAATACATGAATTCAAACTCTTTTGATTTGGACAAAATAATAATAAAAAAACATACGCCGAGGGGAAATACATTAAAAACTCATACATTTCCGTTGCGCATAAATGCCAACGAGCAACGTATGCACTGAAGAAGTGAGCATTTGTTATATGCACCGCGTGTGCTACGATGTACCCCATAAAATATTTTATTGACAAAACTAATGTGATTGAACGCCAATTTCGCTTGAATATATAAATGGGGACGTAATTTTCCATGTGCATTGTGAGACACATTAACTTTTCCGGCATGAATGCAATGTCACAAATAGTAAATAAATCCTAAACAAAGGAGTAGGGATTTGTTTAAAATTTGTTTCGTTTGTCCGTTGCATAGCAGCTCATACATTTGTAATCAAATTCCCTTCAAATCAACATTGTCATTGTTTGATAGTGTTTGCGTTTAGTCATTGCGATACACGGATTAAATTTGTTTTTTTCTTTTTAATAAAATGGTATTTTTATTTTGTCTGTTTTGTTTAAATTGTTATGTCATTAAATGTTTGTTTGTTATTTCAGTATTCGTATAATCGACCGTTGAGATCATTTTTGATAATGAGTGATCAAACCGACCACAGTGCGACTGCTGCAGGAGCGCCGTATCGACATGAAATTACAATTTCAGTTGGTGGCGATTCAGAGGATCAAATTCACATAAAAACCCCACCAAGCGTTTCGACACCAACGCCGTCACCACGCTCCATTCAGTCAACGACCGACGAGATATCAAACTCAACCGATGACGACCATGCTGTTTTGACGCCAAAGCAAAAAACCAGTCCGAACGGAGTGGATAATTTAGCATTTGAAAATGAGCACAAAACTAGTCAGCAGCGACCAATGAGTTCCTTTGGTCAAAATGAAAATGGCACAAAGAAAGAGCCAGCCAATGGTAAAAATGGTATAGATAAACCATTAGCTGGTAAGCGCACGATAAACAAATCTCTCTTTTTTTCTCTTCCCCTTTCAATCTCAATGCACCCGATTTATCTCTAATCGCTCGCAATCAATATATCAAACAAATCTATTTTGTTTCAGAAGCTGTGAATTTAGAATTAGTAAATCTTAATAAAACGCCAACAACAAATGGCCATCGTGACAACGGTTTTCCACAGAAGAAGAAGGACACAACACAAGTTGAAATGGGAAATTCATACAATGAATATTTTGTGCCTGTGAACGAGCACAAGAAATATATGAGGTATTTTTCCAATCATTTCTTTTTTTTAAAAAAATACATATGTGTGCACGCACTGTGTGCATAGTCCAGACAGACATCAGACCCACGATACAATCTCACATGAAATAAAATCAATACATTTTCCATTCGATTTGTTTCATCGCTTCTACGCCTAAATGCTACCGCTTATTTAATTTCCAAGAAAAGCAAAAAAAATAAAGACTGACTCACTGACCATTTGCCTCTGTATGTTATTTTACCAATTGACCGTTTAGTCTGTATTTCTTATAGAGAGCGTGGTTTACGTGGCGTAGATCATTTTGGACATTCTTTGAATGAACCAGTTGAAGGCATTGTTGATTACAGTAGTTGGCGAAAAATCGCGAGGTACCTTCAGTTTTCGTTGAGTGTTTTTTTTACCGCATGTTCCTATTTAATTATAATCCTTCGTGCTGTCACATTCCAATGCCTCTTTTGTTTTTAGTTTTATTTTTCTATTTATGCGAAGCATGCTCTTTTGTCAGGTTGTTTATTGCCTTTTTTGTTTCTAGTGCTTTTTTGGTGCAATGATTTTGGCGGGATTTCCTTTAACTGACTTTTAATAAGCCAGATAATCGCTTTTGCGTGCCGACTACCTCATTCAATCATTTTTTGTTTTCTTTTTCCACTAATCGTCCTTTGGTCATTTTGTGTGATGATCAAGATTATAAGTGTTTTTGTTTTCTTTCTAATTTTCCTTTGAATAAAAACTGTTTGGTAAACTCCTTATGAAATTTGGTTACGGACTTTAACGTGAATTATTTTGAATCCATTCCGCTTTGAACTAAAACTACTACAAACAGCTGACCTGACGTACAAACGAAACATTTGCAAACTCATTTTTTTGGTGACCTTCATTATTTCACATGCTTTTTTAGTTGATTTTGATTGATTTTTGTAGAATGTTAAGCTTTTTTCTAGTATCAAATAGTGGATTATGCATTTTTTAATTAAATATTATGCTTGAATAACTGAAAATCAATCAAATTCACAGAAAATCTAATTATATCCATATCGAATGTTGTTAACGCATATTATTTGGACCATTTTTTATTCGTAGAGGTGAAAAATTGTATGTAACTAAAGATAAGCGTCTCAAAACAAATTGGCGCAAGCGGCTACTGTGGGTAATAGGCTTGGCACTATGTGCAGCTGTTTTAATCGTCGCAATTTTATTAGCAAGTGAGTTACGGTTTTATTTTAATAGGTTCAGAATGTGTATTGATTTGTGTGTTTTGATGTCGATTTGTGTTAGCTGGAACAATAGGCAGTGAACCAGAACCAATTGAATCGAGACAGTTCAGCAGTAAAGATAAATTGGCGACCGCTGGAATATTTGGTGGCGGTACCAAGGGAAAACAAAATGAGACATATCCGTCAACGCCGCAACCTCCTGGATCAACAGTTCCTTCACATCCACCAACCACTGATGAAAATATGATATACGGTAAGTTATTCGGTAAATTTCAGTGCATAGAAAATCATTAATATTATTCTGTTATGACCAGTGCCGAATTCTATCAACGGAAAACTTAAAATCGAAAACAACGAATTTTTGGAAGAATACAAAGATCATAGCAGTCCAATTTACCAGACGATTAAACGAGAACTGGAAAGTGAATTGATGGAATCGTTGAAAGAATACATTGGTGTCCATGTCAAAGTTCTTAACTTGACGTAAGTTTCAAGCCAAATCGATTTAGATTCATTATCAAGATAAAGAAAATGACCATTAATCAAATTTAAAAAAAAAACGTTTTCAAATAGACCTGGTTCGATCGTAGTCGACTATCGTGTTACATGGGACGAAGATGATGATTTATCAGATACCATTTTGATGGATAGTCTTTCGAACTATTTGAAAAAGAATCAAGGCTATCTTTATAGCTATTTCGTTCCAACCGAAACACTTTCGTACACAAAAGTTATCGATTCATGTGCTATGCAAACAAATGAAATGAAGTAAGTTGTTTTAATAATTATTCAACATATACAATGAATAATCATATTTTATGGTTTCAATTTAGATGTGAAAATGGTTGTGAATTTGACCACACAGCAGCCGATTTCATCTGCAGCAAATTAGAATCGGAAGGTAATGCTGAACCGGAACCCAAATCAGAGGTAAAATTGCAAATAGATTTTGGAAATTCTTTTATTACTTTTCTCTGCACTTTTTTGATTGAAAAATCTATAGCCTGAACCAAATCCTGAAAGTGAACCGCCTACACCAGAATCCGAACCACCTACACCAGAGAAAGAGCCAAGCGCTGAGGTAGCTTTTTCACACCTATTTTACATTTCCCAATATATTTGATAAATACATTATAAATCTTTGTTTCGAACGTATCAAAGCCGATTTTATTGCAAGTTTTTTTTAATGCCTCCATTTTTAAAGGTTGAACCTGAGCCAACCACCGCTGAACCGTCTGCCAAACAAGTTGATGTTGAAGCTTCTTCAGAACCTAGTGTCGAACCAAAACCGGAAGGCGAGCCAAGTGCAGAGGTGCTTTTTATATTTGTTTATATTCTACACTGTGGGCCCAGTCGGACTAAATTCTATACTTTTAGGATTTTTCTATATAAAAAATACATATGGATTAAAAAAATCCTGAGGGATAGTCAAAATATTAAAACAATACTCATTTTTTTTGAATTCATTTTGTTAATTGTCATCGATTTTACGGAGCAAAACATATAGTGCAAAATAAAATTGTCAACTGTAGCACAGAAACAATACAAATACATAAACATCACATGTACGCTCGAAGTAGCACAGCAACGAAGCTAAGTAGTGAGCGCATGTATTAGCATATTTTTCTCTGTTGTACCGTAAAATCGATTACAACTTACAATATGAATTCAAAAAAATATATTTTATTATTAATTTTGAGTATTGTTTTAATACTTTGACTTTAAATCCCTCAGGAAAATCCTTAAAATCCATATGGATTTTTTATATAGAAAAATCTTAAAAGTATAAAATTTAGTCCGACTGGGCCCACAGTGTAACATATAAATCTGAATACATGAATTCTATTTTTAATTATACAATGTTTTTTCAATAATATAATAATTATTTTTGTTCTTATTTTAAAAGGTTGAACCTGAGCCAGCTACCGCTGAGCCATCCGCCAAGCAAGTCGATAGTAAATCAGAAGATATTGAACATGTGACATCTGAACCAATTTCGAAGGTAGAACCAAGCCCTGAAGGGGAACCAAGCGCGGAGGTAAATAATTTTTGTAATATATCGGTATGGCTTGATGTTCCATTAAAATCAAATTAATGTCATTATTTTAGGTTGAGCCCGAAGCTGCTACAGCGGAACCATCTGCAAAACAGGTTGACGTTGAGGCCACATCGGAGCCAATTTCAAAAGAACCAAAAGCAGAGGTGAACAAATGTCTCATAAATATGTGACGCTTGCTTTTGAATATCCAAAACGTGTTGGACAATCTTGCATGAAATATATTTTCTAATTCAATTTAAACAATTTCAGGTTGAGCCAGAGCCTGTCTCAGCAGAACCGCGTGCAAAGGAAACCAATATTGAAAGTGAATTAGAAGATATCGAAGAGGTGACAGCAGCTGAACCCATTTCAAAAGTCGAACCTGAGCCGGAAGTCAATGCCGAGGACTCAACAGCCGAGCCAGCTCGACCAGAAGTCGAGAAGAAAAATAACAAAAATGGAAAAGAATTGAGCTACGAAGATGAACTTTCATTGGAAGAAAAAAATGACAGTTTCGACTCAAAAGAAGCCTCAATTGAACACAAACATGAACATTCGGTTGAGACTACCAAAGACAATGAAAAAATTGACTCAACGACTCGAAAACAAAAATACACCTATGACTTTGAGCCTCAAGGATATTCCGACGATAAGGACGAAAAAGTAGAAACATCATCCGAGCGACATGAGCACGCAATAATTTTACCAAATGAATCTGCTGTGGAAGGATCAACATTAAGATCATCAGCTCCAGTCACAGAAGACTTAAGTGATGACACGCCATTGCCAACTGAAAACTATTTCAAATCAATTTTAAAAGTCGCCGAAGAACGAACAGAAGTCAATGTCATGGATGGAACCGTAACACCATCAAGCATCAATCTAACATCTTCAACAATTTATTCGACAACGGCTCCAATTAAATTGGAATACGAAGAAAGCTCACGACCAACTGCACGTCTTGTTCCACATTCAACCAGCGAAAATCCCACGTACTCAGTTACCGAAAATATTTTAGAACAATCACCATTTTTGCCAGAACATGAGAATGTCGATTCCGTATTGAATAATTTGCATACATCACACGATGATAATGATGAGATAAAGAACTTGGATACTGAAGATGATACATCATCATCGGAAAATGAGAATGCCAATTTTATATCTGGTCCCGAAATCATTTCGCAGAAAAAATACAAAGTTGGACAAACATCATATGTTCCACAAAATGCCACTACCATTTTGAAAGAAGTAGAAACGAGCGAAGAAAAAACCGAAATCCCATCAGATAGTACAGAGATTTACAATTTGCAAGAATCACGTACACATAATCATGAAAAAATACATGCCACAGAAGTCGTCGAAAATCAATCGGATGAAACAATGGAATTTAGCCACAACACTGAAGGCGGCGCAGTACCAACAACAATCATTCCAGTTTCAAAGATTGATAGCACCGAAGTTGAAGAAATTACCTTATCGGATTTGATGTCGATGATGTCCTCGTCATCGCTTCTACCTATTTCAGGCAGTACCCTGGAAGAGAGCACAGAACACTTAGAAGAGACCACCGTTCAAGAAAAAGATGCCAACAAGGATATCGAAGCCATTCCAAGCTCGGAACCATCCAGCACCGAACAATTGGAAAAACTCGTGTCGTCAACAAACGAAAGAATTGAAACACCCAGCGAAGAAATAAGTCCATCGGCAGAGCCAACCGTACCACATATTGATGAAGTGGAAACAACCGTTTTACCGTTGGAAATTTCAAGCGTAAAAGTTGATTCAACGGCAATTTCAGTTGAACAAACGGTAACGGCCGTTGTTGGAAGTAATAACACGGAAGCCAAAGTCGAAAAAGCATCATCCCTTAGCGAATTAGATAATGTGAGTTCAACTGCTGAACCAATGTTGGCATCAAACGATTCGGTAAAAGAAAATAGTACAGCTGCTTTGTCAAATTCAAAATCTGAAACAAATGAAAGCGACGACTTGGTTAAAAGTGAAATTTCAACAACAACAAAAAGTGAAAAAACCGAAGTAAAATCAACGGAAAACAGTACATTGGCATCCACTGAACCATCCGCCGAGCCATCAGCTGAACCATCAGCCGAACCATCAGCTGAACCATCAGCCGAGCCATCAGCCGAACCATCATCAACTGAATCAAAACCACAAACAAAACTTAGCGATGATGAATTAAAAGTGATTCCATTACAAGCTACGAAAAAACCGGACGAAGAAAAACCAACGAGTGAAAGTGAAACAAAGAAAACCACAGAAGAAGAAAAAGAAGAAGAGGAAACCACCGAAACAACTACCGGTCATTTTTTATCCAAAGCGACGTTTCAACTGAATAAGACAGTTGAAACGTCGTTAAACTCATCGGACATTGGCAATGACACAACGAGCACTGAAAAGGATAATGAACAAACACCAATTTCAAATGTAAATAGTATGAACGAGAGTTCTGTAGTATCAGAACCCACTTTTGCTTATTCACGTTGTACGGCGGGACAATTTGAATGTTTGAACGGCACATCGATCATTGATAGTGACATACCTTGTATTAGTTTGAGCCAACGATGCGATTCATTTTCTGACTGTAGCGACAAATCAGATGAGATTGGCTGTGAAATGCTCGGCTGTCCTGGCCATTTTCAATGCAACGACGGCTCATGTTTGGCACGATCATTGGTTTGCGATAGAATAAAACACTGCAGTGACGGAAGCGACGAATTGGAAACATTGTGCAATGATTGGAAATGTAAATTTGATGAAATGGCATGCAGTGAAAATGGTCCCTGTTTGCCGGCTATATTACAATGCGATGGTGTTTCGCACTGTAGCAATCAAGCTGATGAGACTAACTGTCCCGATGTTTGTAAGAATAACGAATTCTATTGTTCATGGCAACGTAAATGCATCCCAGAAACTTTCGTTTGTGATGGGAAAATAGATTGTTTCGGTAAGTTGATGAGGCAAAAAAAAACTTTATTGGTAATTTTTACTAAATAAAAATGTTATGATTAAATCAAGGTGGTGAAGATGAGCGTCTATGCGACTGTCCCGAAGATCATTTCAAATGTAATACAGGTCGATGTGTTCCAAATCACTATCGATGCGATGGGCGGCCCCAGTGTGCTGATTTGTCTGACGACTGGGACTGCTTTAATGTAACAACTGTTCACACTACTGGTAACAAAACCACATCATCTTCCATGGATGACATCGATACACCAATAACACAAACAAATTCCAATGCATTGCAAATTAAAAAGCCAGATGGAAAATTCGCTTTTGTTTGTTATGAAAATTGGAATCTCATTCACGCTGATTTAATTTGTAAAAACTTTGGCTACGCTCGCTCCATGGATTATTCGTCAATTGAAATCGATTCGGCCAACGCTTCGTTCCTTAAGCTAAGCGATGACTTCCAACAGGGTGATTCTATGCTTTCGAGTATGAATGAAACCGATTCATGTGAAGACAATGAAATTGTCACATTGGAGTGTGAAACATACAGTAAGTCCACAACTAATTTCAATGACATGCGCTTGTATTTAACAAAAATTCATTTCAGCTTGTGGCAATAATATAACTCGAGATAAGGAAGCTGCTAATAAAAATCAAAGTTGGCCATCACTTGCAGTGGCAGTCAATGAAATTTCAAGTGTTCAATGCACAGCAACAATTGGTATGTTTTTATTGTCTCCAGCCTTGATTCAAAAATTCTAAAACAATTATGTCAATTGCAGTAAGTCCACGTTGGGCTTTGGCCAGTTACTCGTGCATCTTGGGCAAATTCGAGTTGAGTAGCGAAGTTGAAAAAACATTAATATGGTATCTTCAAGTAAATGGATCCAATAATGATGCCGCCGAACTTCAACAAGTTAATGTCATGCGCATTTTCAAATATCCACAGGTCAGTTTTTTTTTGGAGAAATATTGTCTGAAAACAGCAGACAATATATTGGGCTGAATATTCATTTGAAATGAAACGAAATAGCACGCTATTTTTGATAAAACAATAGAAGTGATTGTT